CAAAATCTCAATCGTGATCATAACAAAGCCAGAAAGGTTGGTCTGACCTTCAGAATAGTTTTATAAAGAATTGTGTAAAAGGCTAATGGAATCTTTGTTAGAAAGTACAAAGGATGTCACTCGAAATCTTCAAACCTATTTTCTGCGTTAATGGACGGGGAGGGGAGGAAATTGCTGTGAAACTGGAAAAGTATTCCGGGCGGTTCGGTATTTTGAGGATACAGGTTAGCGAAGGGTCTGGATTTCAAAGAGTTAAAAATGTCCATCCATATATTTCATAGTCGAGGATTATTATCATCATGGTCTTCAACACATAATTATAAAATCTCTTAAACTAAGCTCAGATTTAGTCCTTTCTTAATAAGCAAATGGGGGATATATTTCCAAGTGTCTACATGCAGAGCCAATTACATTTTTTATTTTAAATCTGATTTTCCTGCTGAAGGGATTACCTTTCATAACATGTAGATTTATTTTCTCCTAACTACTTTAACAAAAACGCTGTTATTTTAAATTACACTTTTGCTTAGAATTCGAACATTTTATGAGCACAATTTCTTCACTAATTTAATTTATTTTTCCATCTGTGTCTCCTAAATAAATATACGAAAAAATTTTTTTTTGCAAGTACACATTTCATATTCATAAATAAATGAGCACATGTTGTATATATTAATGAATTATATATAAATTTAAGAAATTGTGTAATTCAGTGGCTTAACATGTAAGAAATTTATTACTATATAGGAACAGTCGTATTTCATTTTACCTGATATATCACTTATACCAATGCTGGAGCAGACATGCTTAAACTTTTAAGTTGTTAAACTGTTCTTAACGATTTGTATCTCTCAAAACTATTAGGTAAAATTTAAAATTTATTATGAAAAGATTATGAAATGTCCGTCATATATTATTATTAGCCCAAAGGGTGTTAGCCTAGAAAGGTTATTAATTTCTTTTTGGCATTTTTAAACGGCGTTTCACTTTTTTTATTGTTGTGACCAAATATTATCACCCTGTATTATGTTTAAGGAAATTAAATAATGAAGAATCTGCATAGACGTATGTATGTTTCTGGCATTTGAATAAACAGCAGTACCTACAGAGTCATCAAATTTTGAATAACGTATGGTTCCACCCGAATATGGGCATTTGGAAATCCAAATCTGGAATTTGTTTTATTATCTATTTAATATTTTGTAAAGCATTTGTGTGTTTTTGATTAAGAAACTGAATAATTTCAAAGCGAGCATTGGTTTCCGAGAAAAACAATCCGCGCAGTAACAGCGTGAGAGACTATGTATCGGAAATTCTAAAGATATGCTCTTTTTAAATTATAATTATTTTGCGATATTGCTGTTGAATTGAATTTTATGATTTTAAGTGCGAAGAACATGGTAATTAATAAATAAAGGTAACACACAAAATGTTATAAAAAGCCCGTTTGGGCGTATTATAAAATTCGAAAACATTAAGATTTTTTTAATTGTTATTTATTTATTAAGTTTTTCGCTTCAAGAGAATAAGGTCTGATAAATAATTTGAAACATTCAGTTAGAAGCACTTTTCCTATCTTACTTGATGATTAAATCTTTAATCAAATTTTTCTTCTAGTGTTCCCGTAACATGTATGTCAACCTTGCAATGGTGTTAATTATGGAGTCAATATAAAGTTCTGTGTCTTTATTTATTATACTTAACCAACAGCGTAAAGAGCGCACTTTTTGTATGTCCTACAAAGATTCATTCTTAGATTTCTTAAACCCTTCAAAATACCCATGAAAAAATAAATCTAACGAAATTCTCTTGCATCATATTATTTCCACTTCTATTAGGCAAGAAATCAAAAGTGCTTTGACAAAGTAATAAATCAGTGTGACAAAATGATTTAAATTTTTGTAATAAAGTAAATAAACATATGAACACAGTCTTTTTATGCATTAACTTTATAGCATAAATCCGTGCACTGTGAATATTAATTTTTATATACTTTATTTTACAGCTCCCCAAGCTCCTGAAAAATCGGCGCTCCTAGTTATAAATTCCACATTTGCCATCGTTCGGCTTTCTTCTTGGAACGATGGTGGATGTCCAATCCTGTTCTTTGAAATACGATACAAACCAAAACTACAAAAGGAGTGGATTTTACAGTCTTCGAATATTGCACCTGCCCAGTCTACAGTAACCTTGAGTGACCTTGCTCCTGGTACCTGGTATGATCTTCTGATGGCAGCGCATAACGATGCCGATTCTACAGAAGCCGAATATGCCTTTGCTACTCTGACAATGTCTGGAGGTATGGGAAAACATCATTTGTTTGATATATTTTCCCTAGAATAACAAGCGTCATAAATGCTCAGTATTCAGACTTTTCAACTCACATACATCATGTGTTTTATAATATATCAATTAGATTTAATCTTTAAAAAACTTACAATTATGCCTGTTTAAGAAGATGAAATATATTATCAATAATTTTAAGAAATGTTATCTCAAAAGCTAATTTTTTAAAGAAGATAATTAATGCGTTTTTCTTACTGGCTTCTCAAATGTATAAATATATTAATATTTTTTTTAATATTCCATATTTGATTAAAACCAATTGTCAACTTTCCGTCGGGGATCTTCACGTCGTGTAACTTGTAGCCCACCAAGCTAGGATTTGGAAGATCTGTGGTTTGAAACTCGGCGAGGTTAAAGCTGAATTATCGTGTTTTCTGCTTCAGAAAAACCTTATTGCTATACAGGATTCAGTCTTATAACGAGATAAAATTTCCATGTATTCGAAATTAAATTTTTTGCTATTTTTCATTCAAATTATGTGTGCCTGAAACATTAGATAAAGTGAAGTTTGTTAAATATGTTAAAATTATTTATTTTTAAAGATTAAAAGAGTTTGAAAAGGAAGATTTGAGACGCAAAATTTGAGTTAAACAAAAAATATTATTTTAAAATAATGGAATTAAAGGGATGTATGGTATTGTAAAACAAAATAATGTTGTGTTCTACTGGTTCGTGGATTTGGAGTAATTGATGACAACAGTTAATGAAGAATCAAAACACAATTTATTCGTTAGTATTACACAACTCAGTTCCAAAGACGCGTTACAGTCGTCGAAAAACTACGACAAACACGCTGAAACAATCAGCAACATAGCCTTTAGGCTATATCGGTGAAGACAGCTTCACGGCAAAACGGTAAGGTACAGCTCCCGGCTCGAGCTAATCTTTGAACTCAAGACACTATACTATTAAACTCATGCGCGTACTGGGAAGATATATATAGATTTAACTGACCTTACCTGTCGCCAAATGGGCGGTTTGTAGCCAAATCTAGCAACCCTGCCACTTTTCGTTAACCCTAACCCCGATTTGCGGGAAAGCTATCTTACCGCAACTGGGCATTTCGTAACAATATAATAATTAAAGTATACATCTATGTAGCAATGTAACACGTGTAAAACACGTGTATATAACACGTGTAAAACAATTGTAGGATTACACTTGATCTGTTAATGCTAATTTAATTTAGATGTCAAACAACAAAAATCAGCAATATATTTGCAAATTTTCACAGGACTAGTTTTGATGGTTTTTATGGAACCATCATCCTCAGCTGCCAAAGCGCAAATGAACGAGCTAAGATATAGTGATTAGATAAGATTAGCTAGCAGCGTAGGATGGTGATTCGGTCAAACCAGAGAAACTAGTCCTGACAATATTTGCAAATTTAACGCTATTTTTTTTTTTTTTTTTTACTTCTAAATTAATACTTGTTCGGCGTATTATTTTATCTTAATGCTAACCTAGTTAAATAACCCTAACAGACGGAAAGAGATTTATCGCTATATCTGAAATAACAACAACATCGTGAGAAGGTTAAAAATAAACTTTTTATTTATAAAGAATTTAGAATACAAAGTCACTTTTTTGCGCCACAAATTACACAACTCATTGTGATGCAAAATAAAATAGAACGGTCTAAATTAAAGTTAAAAGTGGAAGAGCACTCAAGGACTACTCAAATAATTATTAAACTAGAAGGTGGCTCACACTTTACCGGAGTGTCAGAATTAAAATGTCGGCTGCGAGGAAACACAAAGACGAATAACTGCAACTATCAGATCTGGCAGGAAACTAACACGTAGCGTGCACGCGATGCCAAAAACACGCTTTGTCATAAAATTTAAAATACTCAGTTTAATTGCTGGCTATTTCTTTGCATTATGGTAAGCAATACGGAAAAGTTACAGTAAATGGTGGAATTATAAATAACTGGTTAATTAGCATAATCCCTATACAATGTAAACAGAACCTTTTTTTAATAACCTTTTTTTTTAATTTTATTCCCTATACAATGTAAACAAAACCTTTTTTTAATACTTTACTATTACGATCATGCTTACCGTGCATTTAATTTGATTGAATTTATTTACAGCTAAAGATTCTTTGTGATACTTCTTCAGAAGTGCAAACAAACTTTTAGCTCTGATTGTTGGAAATGGAAGACCTCATTCATAATATTCTTTTCTTAACAAAATGTAAATGTCGTTTAAGGCAATGATTTTTTTTTTTTTTTTTGTTAACGACTTGTATATCAATCAGTTTAAATGAAAATTTATGTTTTCAACGAAATCGGCATACATGGCACCCAGTGTGTTAAAATGCGTGTTTGTATTTCATTGATAAGAAAATGAGAACTCATTTGAATTACTATAATACTATTAATACAGAACACTGAAAAATTTGTAAGCCATTTATCTTTACCATGAACTGCCAGAGAGTTTTATAGTTACAGTATTCCAATACTCACGCTAGATTGTGCTATTCAGAATTATAGAAATGAAAATATTGAATGATCATTAACACATAATATGTATAAACCGTGTATTTTCTTTTGCAATGACTTTTCTGTTAATCAGTCATTAGGACATCTGAAAAAAAAAGAACAATCCCCAAAACATGAATTATGACAGATATACAGAGTGTCTGTTCTGAGCTGTATTCACTGTGAACCATTATTCATTTCTTTCAGTTTGAAGGAATAAATATAATTCATTAATTATCATTATTTTTTCGTTTACCAATACTATACACCTGCATTTTTTTATTTGCTTATATTCATTGTCTCTTTTACTTTAATTATATCGTTTTGCCTTGCAAATGTAATCCTGTCCTTCATAAATTGCGATAATTATTTCCGCCTTAATTTGAATTTCGTTAGATTTTATTTATTCAGACTTAAAATCATTTCTTTATTATGTTTCTGAAATTATTTTGGCATTTTTTTGGAGAAAACGGTTTTGTTCTGACGGCTTAAAGTAAAGTAAAATAAGTAGATGTAAATTTTAAAAAAATTTGTTCCATTTAACTAGCTAATTTATAGTTTCTTTTGATAATTTTTTTTTTGAATATCAGTCAAAACGGAAAAAGATAATACATTTTATTAAAAAGTACGATCATGGACGAATGGAGGATGTGTATCCTTGCATATCCTTAAGGAAAAGTACAAAAATGACATTCAGTTTGAAATACGCTTACTTTAGGAATAAGTGTACTTTTCTTTTTCTTTCCATAATATGAGCATGCGCAGGTAGCTTTTCGGACACCTCGTTAGACTATCTAATGTAAAACTTGAAAGTATATCTGAAAATTTCAAAAGAAGTTATAGGGCAGCTAATATCATAGGGGATATATTAAAAGAAGCTATATTTATAAATATAGATAGGCTATATTAAACGAAGCTATATTTCTAAATATAGATAGGCTATATTAAACGAAGCTATATTTCTAAATATAGATAGGCTATATTAAAAGAAGCTATATTTCTAAATATAGATAGGCTATATTAAAAGAAGCTATATTTCTAAATATAGATAGACTATATTTTACTAAAATATAGGCTAGGCACCATTTTAAATAAAATAATAGGCTATATATAATTTTTCGAACGGTGGACACTATTTTGTCTTTTTTCGACATTGGCCAATCTGAAGCCCGAAAATGGCGGCCTAACAATTGACCAACGTTACCTTCTATGAAGAGACGGACAGTTACAAAGATGCCTACTCCGGGTTTTGAACCCGGGTCCTTAGGTATCTTAGTCGTCTGACCTAATCACTATACCATCTGGGTTGCAAAATAGGCTATATAGGCGTGATAGGAAAGAGGTTTTGTGATTGAGATCGGTTCTGGTCTATTCATATATTTTCTCTCTTAAATAAATTTCGGCTGTTAGCGAAGATCGAGAAACATTTTTCGTTAAAATATGTCATCATCTGCACCAACATACAGAGAATGAAATGCTGCAGAATTTTGTCTTTAGAAGTTCAAATTTAGTTATCAGGAGCACAATGCATCTATTGAATATTATTGCTGCCTCAGACCTTAACACCAGCACCTTTATACTAATGTGCTTTGGAACTGTTTACCTAATGAAGTCCCAAGTCGTTCAAGATCATATTGTAGATATATAAGGTTATTTTGATACTGAAGACGTGCAAAATGATCAATGCCCTCGAATACGTGCCGAGTGTGCAACCGTTACACCACAAAGGCATGCAGAAAGTAGGGAGAAAATACCTTTTATACTCTCCCTTTTGAAAGGGCCACAGGGGATTAAGGGAACCAGTCGCTAAGACCTTGTGGTGAAGAATCATCATCCACGCCATTTTAGTTCGGGCGCCACTGTAGACTCATTAGGAATTTTTGAAGCAGGAGTACACGAAAAACGAGCAGGTCCGCCGGGATTCGAACCTGGACCTCTCGAATATGCGCCGAGTGTGCAACCGTTACACCACGAAGGGATGCAGAAAGAATCGAAAAGACCTTTACACCGTGTTTGCGGTGTCTCTGATGCTAAGAGTCTATAGCTATGCAATATTCACTATTATATAAACTCTTGCCACGGCAAATCGTGATATTGTATGTCCTGTTCTTATTTGCAATTTGTCTCCTATATTGTGTATAGTCTCCAATATTGCGTATTTCGTTGGGCGAAGGTTACATATCTTTTAATAATAATTGCTTTGGTTATTTTGGGGGTCTTCAATGTAAGTAAAACAATGCTAGAGCTGATACCAGGCTTTCCGACTGTGCTGAGACATTTCCCCTAGGAATCGACGCCGGAAAACCGGAGAAGCTACTTGTTAGGATCTTTACTTAGGCAGTCTCGGCCACAGGGGTATATAATTATTGTTCACAGCACTAGAACCTCCGTTCATTCGGAGGATGGTTTAAGCTCGGCAAGGACCATATGGTATTGCCTTGTCTACCTCTTGGCTCTGTAGTCGCAAC